CCCAGGCTGGAGTGCAGTGGTGTGATCTCAGCTTATCACAACCTCCACCTCCCAGGTTCAAGCAATTCTCTTGCCTCAGCCTCCATGTAGCTGGGATTACAGGTGCCCACCACCACACCCAGCTAATTTTTTTTTGTATTTTTAGTAGAGACAGGGTTTCATCATGTTAGCCAGGCTAGTTTCAAACTCCTGACTCAGGTAATCTGCCCGCCTTGGCCTCCCAAAGTGCTGGCATTATAGGCGTGAGCCACTGCGCCTGGCTACCCACCTCTTTTACTTTTTTTTTTTTTTTTTTTTGAGACAGAGTCTTGCTCTGTCCCCCAGGCTGGAGTGCAGTGGTGTGATCTTGGCTCACTGCAACCTCCACCTCCTGGGTTCAAGCAATTCTCCTACCTCAGCCTCCTGAGAAGCTGAGACTACAGGCACGCGTCACCATGCCTGGCTAATTTTTTTTTTTGTATTTTTAGTAGAGACAGGTTTTCACCATGTTAGCCAGGATGGTCTCGATCTCCTGACCTTGTGATCCACCTGCCTTGGCATCCCAAAGTGCTGGGATTGCAGGTGTGAACCACTGCACCTGGCTATCTTTCACTTTTAAGGATCTCTGTGGTTACACTAGGCCCATCGAAAAAATCCGGGGTAATCTCTCCCCACCTTGAAGTCCTTAACTGAATCACATCTGCAAATTCTATTTTGCAATATAAGGTAAAATATTCCCAGGTGCTGGGATATCTCTGGGGAGCCATTATTTTGTCTGCCTCAAGGGTAGAGATGGGCTGAAAAGCAGCTTCAAGTATCAGCGAGAAGGCTATGAAAGTTACCATCTGAGGCACAAGCAGTTCCAAAGCACAGCTCCAGTCAAACCACTTAGTGTACAGGTTTCACAACTACGTTCTGGATACTTTTCAATTTAGCTCCCGCTACACTTCCCCACACTCTCTATGGATCACTTTATGCCATCTTTGTTGTGAAGTGAAGCCTTCCCACTGTCCCAGAGAGAATCAGTAGTTCCATCGTCAGTAAACACGAAGCACTCTGCCCATGCCCTATTCTAGCACTTCGACACTGCTGTACAGTACCAAAATTTGTCTGTCTCCCTTATGAGATAGTGAACCACTTGAGAATTAGGACACTCTCATTCTGCATCCTGGCAAGAGGCTAGCAAGGTGCTTAGTACTTCATATCCCTTCACTCTGACATCCATCTATACTTAACCAGCACTGACGATGACAGGCATGACCTAGTCAGGAACATTTCACTTAGGGACATCAAGAACACGTTCATTAGCAAAGAGAAAAGGGTCTTTTCAAGTTCCGAACGGCTTGACCAGTATTTGCTTCAGCAAAGGGCAAGGTATGATCAGCAAAATAGACCCAGCAGCCACAAAGTTAAAATTCTAGCCAAAAGACATGGCAAAGATATATTTAAAGATACAAAAGGCAAAGATTCTGCATCTGTCAAAACTCAGCAAATGTACACTTAAGATTTGCACTTTTCATTTTATGTAAATTTTACATCAAAAGAAAAACCTAATCAAATATAGAATTCTAGTTAATAATACACATGTATTCTGATTTTAGGTAAAATGTACCCCATGTCAATTTACCTTGAAATAAATTTTTAAAATACAACAAATTGACGGGTAAGAGAGAAGACAGATGGGTGTGTTAGTAAAATATTAATGGTAGCGTCTAGATGGGAAGGGTTATAAGTATTCACTGCAAACAGTTCAGCCGTATGCTCAACATTTTTCATAATAAAATACTGAACAGGAAATGACAGGATGGGGCAGCAAGGAGATACTGTGTGGAAAAAGGCAAAAATAATGCTCTTGGACATTCATTACAAGTCAAAGAGGCACATATATAGACAGAGGTGGCCTGTCACACCTAGTTCCAACCTTGCTTCATAGCCAGAAAATTAAAAGCCCTGGCTGACATGAGACATGCTAGAAAGAGTATTGTTGATGAAAGTAAGAGTCTTGTAGGCACAACAGAGATATTAACAATAAAAAACTTCTTTTTTCCTTAAAATAATGTTTTTTGTTTTTTGGTCTTTCTTTTTTTTTTTTTGAGATGGAGTTTTGCTCTTGTTGCCCAGGCTGGAATGCAGTGGTGCCATCTCAGCTCACTGCAACCTCTGCTTCCTGGGTTCAAACAATTCTCTTGCCTCAGCCTTCTCAGTAGCTGGGATTACAGGCATGTGCCACCACACCTGGCTAATTTTGTTTTTTTTAGTTAGAGACAGGGTTTCTCCATTTTGGTGAAGGTGGTCTTGAACTCCCTACCTCAGGTGATCCACCCACATCGGTACCCCAAAGTGCTGGGATTACAGGCACGAGCTACCACGCTCAGCAAAATAATGTTGTTTTAAAAACCTAAAATATTGTTTAACTATCTGCTATCAAAGCTTTGGTGTTTGAATTATTATTTGATAAAAATCAAGGAAACCTATCTCTAGGAGCCCTTTTCTTTTAACAAAACCTTTTCCTCCTTTAACAGACACTGGAGAAATGGGCCACTTTAAAGAAGCATAAAGATATAAGCCAGGTGCAGTAGCTCACGCCTGTAATCCCAGCAGTTTGGGAGGCCAAGGGGGGCGGATCACCTGAGGTCAGGAGTTCAAGAACAGTCTGGCCAATGTGGTGAAAACCTGTCTCTAAGAAAAATACAAAAATTAGCTGGGCGTGGTGGCATGTGCCTGTAATCCCAGCTACTCGGGAGACTGAGGCAGGAGAATCACTGGAACCTGGGAGGCGGAGGATGCAGTGAGCCAAGATTGCACCACTGCATTCCAGTTTTGGCAACAGAGCGAGACTCCGTGTCAAAAAAAAAAAAAAAAAAAGGAAGCACAAAGTTATAAAGGAAAGAACAAGGTACCTGGGTGTTCTTTAAAAAAACTGTCAGATTTTCTTGGCCAGGTGTTGCAGCTCATGCCTGTAATCCCAGCACTTTGGGAGGCAAAGACGGATGGATCACCTAAAGTCAGGAGTTTGAGACCAGTCTGGCTAACATGGTGAAACCCCGTCTTTACTAAAAATACAAAACACTAGCTGGGTATGGTGGCGGGCACCTGTAATCCCAGGTACTAGGGAGGCTGAAGCAGGAGAATTGCTTGAATCCGGGAGGCGGAGACTGCAGTGACCTGAGATGCGCCATTGCACTCCAGCCTGGGCAACAAGAGCAAATCTCCATCTCAAAAGAAAAAAAATTTTCAGATTTTCTTGACAACTGGATAAAATCTATAAACAGAACTGTTCTTATTCTTACTCATTCTTTATTCTTCTACATTGCCTAGTAGAGTTTGATGTTTTTTCTCACATACTTCACATGTATTTCTAGCTAAAACTAATTATTTTCTCATTTTGAAGACTTTTTAAAAATATAAGTATGTGCTAGCTAACTTGTTGAGGACAGTAAGTCAATCTGTTAGCTTACATATTTCAGTCACTTTACTACAAATTATTGATAATAATTGAATCTCTTCTCATTTTGGCAACTTATTACTTAATAAGGATAATTTTGTAATCTCTTTTCCAGAAGGTAAGCCTCCTAGCAACTTAAATACTGGCCTATGTAGAATTTCCAGACAGTGCTTCCATAAAATATTGATAAGCACACATTCTCATTTAATTTATGATGTGTATTTCAAATCTCTGCCCTTGTGACTGGCAGATGCTAAGAGCTAAAGAAACGTGTGCTGAGAGAAGTAATGAAAAAACAAATATAATTTTCCGGAAGAGGCAGGAGCGTGTGCAACTTACCATCCAGGAGGGCTCTGCAAGATGGAGGGACAATTTTAATAAAACAGAAGAAATCAGTTATGTCGTAAGTGAAAAGTTAGTGTTGAGGTGATTTTAAAGGGTGTAGGGAACAGGTGTGCTATCCAGTTCTGGGAGAGCTAACCGCAGCCATCTCTAACCTAATAACACTTGTTGGCTGGCATTCCGGGTGACATCCTGCCTTCTCTTTTACTTTAATTTTTTTTAATTAGCAGTCTCTTTCTGCTAATAATGTATAGCTAGAGTTGAAATTGTTCACCTTCTGCATACACTTTGGGTGGGATCTACGTACACAATCTTGATGTTAACCTTATCTCTGATACTCGTCTATGTGTCAGAGGGTGTATATATAATTTTAATTAACAAATCTAGTGTCAAGGGAAAATAAAAACGTAGTAATTAAATTTATGATCTGTCTCTGAAAATAAAAAAAGTAGATTAAACATACAAACATAACTCCGGTTAACCTATTTGATTAAAAAACAAAACTGAAGATGAGGAAGCTAGGAGCTAGAGATGCAGGATTTGTTTGTAAAAGACCACACACAAACCGGCTTCTCCATTTCAACAGATGACAGAAAGGCCAAATGCAAAATCCTGAACGTCTATCCCGGCTGGGGGGAAAAATGGAAGGAAGAATGGAAGAAACCTTATTTTATATTACTCAAAATATCTAGTTCAAACTTACCACCGCCGCCGCCCGCTCCACGTCAATCTCCAGGTGCAGCCGCTATTCTCCACAGAACAAGAACGGCCGCCGTGAACTCCGGGGCGCGCGAGGGAACGAGAGTGACTCATGCAAGGGGTGACGAACACCGTTAAAATCTTTCATTGACAAAATTACAGTCCACCTAGAAAAACGAAGCTAATACACTGCCACACAACTAAAGAGCTCAACACGCGCCTGACCGATGCAAACACGCAAAATTCAGCACTTCCGTATATACCTGCAATAGGTAACTAGAAGGTTCGACGGGAGAAAGCGATCCAGTCACAAAGGCAGCAGCAGCTGCAAAACAGAGAACGCGACTCCATTCACCAGCGCCGCGCGAAGAGCGGCGTCAGACCTGAGTCCGAGGCCGGCCCGGCGCGGCGGCGCCACCTCCGCCCCGCCTGTCGTCACGCACGCTAACGCGACCCGCCCCCGGCCCCATCACTCCTGTGCCCGCCCCTGCCGCACACGCACGCACACGCACCCACTACATACACCGTTGCGCATGCGCCCCGCCCCCCGGCCCGTCAAGCGCGCGCTCAGGGTCCCTCGAGCCGGCGACCCCTCACTGGCGCCCCAACGGACCCTCAGTGCCGGACACTGCGGGACTTCAGCTTTGACAGCACAGCCCAGGCTCCTCCGCGGGGCGGCGCGCGGGCTCCTGGGAAATGTAGTCCGGCCCCGCGTCCCCCTCGGTCCAGACTGCCGACACCCGGAGGCAGGCAGAGATGAACGGTGAGCGTGCGAGGCGGTGGCTCTTTCACCCGGGACGAGTCGCTCGTGGGCTCAGCCTATCCCGCTGAGTTCTCCTGCATGCAGGGGTTGCTTCACCGGAGTCTGGGAAGCGGGGAGCCTTACAGGGAGGCGGCAGCGAGAGAGGCCCTTGAGGGAGGAGGGGCCCTTTACTGGGTGCCAGTGGCGCGCGGGAAGCGAGTGGGGAACAGGGGCGCGCGGGGAGGAGGGGTCCGGGGTTGGCTACGGGTGGCACGCGGTGAGCACCGGGGGGCTGGGGGCGCGGGTTTGCCTCCTTCTCTAAGCAACACGGGGAGGCTGAGCGTGCACGCCTCTGTCCAGCAGCCTCCTTGAATTTCTAAATCTAGTAATGGGTTGAATCACAGCCATAGTTTGTCTACTTTTCACCTATTGCAATAGGTGTACTGTCCTTGCCCGTTATACTAACAGGATTCTACAAAGCTATTGAATAATTTGGACAGCAGTCTCCCATCTATTCTGTAAAACAGTTCCCCTCCACCACTGCCCCCCGCCCCGCTCTCGAAAGTTTGGTCAAATTTACATGCAACACCTTTGGCCTTAGAATTTTTAGTACGTATTTAACTTCTGACTCAATTTTTTAAAAGTCTCATCGAACGGCCGGGCGCGGTGGCTCAAGCCTGTAATCCCAGCACTTTGGGAGGCAGAGGCGGGTGGATCACGAGGTCAAGAGATCGAGACCATCCTGGTTAACATGGTGAAACCCCGTCTCTACTTTTTAGTACAAAAAATTAGCTGAGCATGGTGGCGTGTGCCTGTAATCCCAGCTACCCATGAGGCCGAGGCAGGAGAATTGCCTGAACCCAGGAGGCGGAGGTTGCGGTGAGCCGAGATCGCGCCATTGCACTCCAGCCTGCCTGGTAACAAGAGTGAAACTCCATCTCAAAAAAAAAAAAAGTCTCATTGATTAGGTTTTTTAGTTCGTATTGAGACAGTTTTAGATACCTTTTCCTAGATAATTGTTTTTAATCTTTTTAAATCTAATTTTTCATATTTGTTGGCATAAAATTGTCCTTGCTATTTTATCACTATAAGTAATTTTTATGGTGATTTTTAAAATTACTATTTTTAATATTTTTAAATAACTGCTGTAATTGTAGTTGTTTTTTGAACCTAATTATCCAGGCCTTTTTTCTTGATTACTCCTATAAGGTGTAAGTAAGTCTTTACAAAGATGTAAATTTGGGTGTTTTGGTTGTTGTTTTGTTTTGGTCTTCCCTTTTTTGGGGGAAGGAGTCCAGTTACAGTAAGTTTTGCTCTTTTTAAATTTTCTTTTACTAAAATGAAATAAAAAATAAAATTTAAAAAATTTTTTTCTTTTACTTTGTTGCTATTTTCTACTTTTATTTTTTTCTCGAGGCAGAGTTTCACTGTTTCACCCAGGCTGGAGTTAAGTTGCACGATCGGCTCACTGCAGCCTCCACCACCCATGCCTCTGCCTCCCCAGTACCTGGGATTATAGGCGCCTGCCACCATGCCCGGCTAGTAATGTGTATTTTTTTTTTTTTTTTTTTTTTTTTTTGGAGACAGTCTCTGGCACTGTCGCCCAGGCTGGAGTGCAATGGCATGATCTCGGCTCACTGCAACTTCTCCTGCCTTGGCCTCCCGAATAGCTGGGTTAGGGTTAGGATTAGGGTTAGGGCATGCCTGGTTAATTTTCTTTTTTTTTTTTTTTTTTTTTTTTTTTTTTGGTAGAGATGGAGTTTAACCGTGTTGCTCAGGCTGGTCTGGAACTCCTGGTCTGGAACTCCTGAGCTCAGGCATTCCACCCACCTCAGCCTCCCAAAGTACTAGCTAGCATTACAGGCTTGAGCCTCCGTGCCCGGTCATCTGCTTCGCTTCTTGATTTGACTGTAATTAATTTATTTCTCTGTATTTGTGCTCCAAGAAATGTATGTTTTTTTCTTTTTTTTTTTTTTTTTTTTGGTGACGGAGTCTCACACTGTCACCCAGGCTGTAGTGCAGTGGCATGATCTTGACTCACTGCAGTCTCCTCCTCCTGGGTTCAAGCAGTTCTCCTGCCTCAGCCTCCCGAGTAGTAGGGACTACAAGCGTGTGCCACCACACCTAATTTTTTTGTATTTTTAGTACAGACAGAGTTTCACCATGTTCTCCAGGATGGTCTCCATCTCCTGGCCTCGTCACCTGCCCGCCTCGGCCTTTCAAAGTGCTGAGATTACAGGCGTGAGCCACTGCTCCAAGCTGTGTGTATACATTTATAAGAGCTGAATATGTTAAAAGACTCATAATAAAAACAGGAAACACCTTAACCCTTTCTCTTCCTAGTGGCAATCACTTGGAAATATTTAAGCAGTTCTGGCTTCGAACTCCTGTCACTATTTTTTTATTCACCAATTTGAGATATTATTTTAAAATTTTTATCATGTTAAATAAGAACTTTAGTTGCCTTCTTTCCACATCCTTAAATCACAATGTAATTATTTTACAAATATTATAATGTAGTTCTCCCACAGATTTTGGCTAAATGTGTTCAGTGTTTTTATTTGATGACTATGTAGTCTTTAGTAGTGAGCCATAATGTTTCTCTCTTGTACAAGGTGTATCTTTCTGGTTTTTAATGACTGCCTTTTTTATTCATTTGCTTAGTTTTTCTGAAACCTATGTAAATTGTCTTTTGGTTCCATTTTCCTCAAGGCCTAATCTGTCATCCAGTCTTATCACTTGTCTCTTTTCCTGGCCATTCCCCTACAATCTAGAATGATGAGTTGCTCTGTAGGCATATTACTGGGCTTCCCTTTCACCCTCATCAGTTTCCTCATCTCATCTCTGTGTTAGATCTCCTGTTTCCTGTAAAGTATTTCTATTCCTGTTTGGTGGATTGTAATCTTCTTACTTCCTTGACAAAGGGTCCATATGATCTACATATATTAAAGTTGTAGAAATGATTAGAAATTACTTTGTCCTCACATTTGTGTGGTGTTTTCGCCTAGTATACAAATCTCAGTAGGAAATTACTTTCCAGTAGAATTTTGAAAGTCAGTGCAGCTAGACAGAAAATGGAGCAGTGTTACTGCAACTGTTGAGAGGTCTATTTCGTATCTCTCAATGTTCCTTTATATGTAATCTATTTATCATCTCTTGGAGTTCTTTGGTATTCAAAAATTTCATGATGATATGTGTTCTAATTATTTAAAGAAATTACTTGCTTTGATGGATCAATTCTAAGATACTGTGATTTTTTTTTTTTTGAGATTAAGAAGTTTCTCTGTATTTGTTTCTTTCTTTTTCCCATTTTTTCTTTCTGGAACTCTGAATAATCTGCAGTTAGACATTAAAATTGCTCATATAGTTGTCTTTTTTCACTTACTCTTTTTCTTTTAGATCAGCTTTATTTATTTTTATTTTTGAGACAGAGTCTCACTTTTGTCGCCCAGGCTGGAGTGCAATGGCGCGATCTTGGCTCACTGCCACCTCTGCCCCCTGGGTTTAAAGCAATTCTCCTGCCTCAGTCTCTCGGGTAGCTGGGATTACAGATGCCCACCACTATACCTGGCTAATTTTTGTTTTTTGTTTTTTTTGAGACGGAGTTTGGCTCTTGTTACGCAGGCTGGAGTGCAATGGTGCGATCTCGGCTCACTGCAACCTCCACCTCCTGGGTTCATGCAATTCTCCTGCCTCAGCCTCCTGAGTAGCTGGGATTACAGGCATGCACCACCATGCCCAGCTAATTTTTTATATTTGTAGTAGAGACGGGGTTTCACCATATTGACCAGGATGGTCTCGATCTCTTGACCTCATGATCCACCTGCCTCAGCCTCCCAAAGTGCTGGGATTACAGGCTTGTAATTTTTGTATTTTTAAGAGAGACAGGGTTTAACCATATTGACCAGACTAGTCGCAAACTCCTGACCTCGGGTGAAATGCCAGCCTCGGCCTCCCAGGGTGCTGGGATTACGGCATGAGCCACTGTGCCTGGCCTTATTTATTTATTTTTTTTAGAGTCTCATTCTGTTACCCAGGCTGGAGTGCAGTGGAACGTCTCAGCTCACTGCAGCCTCTGCCTCTTGGGTTCACGCAATTCTCCTGCTTCTGGGATTACAGGTGTGCACCAACACATCCGGCTTTTTCTGTGTGTGTGGGTGGGTGTGGGTGTGTGTGTGTTTAGCTGAGACAGGATTTCACTATGTTGGCCAGGCTGGTCTTGGACTTTTGACCTCAAATGATTCACCCACCTCAGCCTCCCAGAGTGTTGGGATTACAGGCATGAACCACTGTGCCCACTCAAGATCAGCTTTCTAGAAAAGTTCCTTAAGTTTATCTTTTAACCCTTGTACCTTTTGGGGGAGTTTTTAAATTATAATTTTTAATTTCCTGGGAAATTAAACAAAAAAATCCATAGAGTTCTGTTCTTATTTCATATAGGAAATATCTCTCTGATTATTTTTTAAATTATGAAGTTTTCAAACACATACAAAAATACAGTATTGTGTACCTATCATTCTATTTTTTTTTTCTGGTGAGAAGATATACATATTTAGAATTAGCCATCTGGACTCAGTTTATCCCAGTTTTGTTTACAATATCCAGAGCACAGCAACCAGGAGCCAGTCAAACATATGCCTTCTTGTGTTCATCAGGCCTGATCAAGGTGTGGACACTGGCCACATCAATGTCATAGAGCTTCTTCACAAGACTGTGAAGAAGGCTTGTTGACCTGTTGCTTGTTGGCTTTAAGATCCACAGTGAGCACAAGTGTGTTATCTTCTATATTCTTCATGGAAGACAGTAGTCAGTAGGAATTTGATGACAGCATGATGGTCAGTCTTGTTTCTACCCAGGATGCTCTTCTGAAGATATGTGGGCTGCCTCCAGAGTCTCGGTGTCTTGGGCTGCTAGAAGATGAGTGACATGCGGATCTTCTTTTTTTTGTGGCTGTGGATGCTTTCACCACTGCCTTTTTGGCCTTCAAAGCCTTTGCTTTGGCTTCAACCTTAGGAGAGGCAGGAGTTTCCTTCTTCGCCATCAGTGCCATCTTGTGAAAAAGGCGCCATAATTCAATTTCCGGGCAAATCGTGGACGTTATATATTATTTGTAAACATTTCCAAATGTATCTCTGAATGATAAGTACTCCTTTAAAAATCATGGCCCGGGTGTGCTGGCTCACGCCTGTAAGCTCAGCACTTTGGGAGACCGAGACAGATCACGAGGTCAGCAGTTCGAAACCATCCTGGCCAATATGGTGAAACCCCGTCTCTACTAAAAATACAAAAATTAGTTGGGTGTGGTGGTGCACACCTGTAGTCCCAGCTACTTGGGAGGCTGAGGCAGAAGAATCGCTACAACCCGGGAGGTGAAGGTTGCAGTGAGCCGAGATCACACCACTGCACTCCAGCCTGGGGGACAAAGTGAGACTCCATAACAAAAGAAAATCATAAGTAGGATATTCTCACACCTGCAAAATTTATAATTCCTTTATATCAAATTTACAGGCAACAGCTGGGGAGGGGGTTGGTGCATACCTGTAGTCTCAGGCATTCAAGAGGCTAAGAGGCCAAAGTGGAGGCTCACTGAAGCCAGGATTTCAAGATCAGCCTGGGCAATATAGTGAGACCCTATCTCTAAAAAAATAGGTAAATAATAAATAGATTGGCAGTGTTAAGATTTTTCTGTTTTCTCATAAATATTAAAAACTGATTTCTTTGACTCATGGTCCAAATAGCATTCATACAATTTGAAGTCTCTGGTTTTTACACGGAAAAACTATATCTCCGTGTGTTTTAATTACAATTTCTCTTATTACGTGCTCTCCTGAAGATGCTATTGCTGCTTTGAAGCTTGTTGTTTTCTTTGCTTACGTTGTTTCCTCTGAATTCCTCCTTTCCTTTGGTTTTACTCTTACACCCTCCTGCTTTCTGCTGAGTCCAGTTCACATCCTTTTAGTGGTTCCTTAAGGAACTACCTTCAGTGATAAACACACACACCCATATAGATGCCTTTTTTTTTGAGATTGAGTTTTGCTTTTGTTGCGCAGGCTGGAGTGCAATGGCAGAATCTCAGCTCACTGCAACCTCCACCTCTCAGGTTCAAGCAATTTTCAATTCTCGTGCTTCAGCTTCCCAAGTAGCTGGGATTACAGGTGTCTGCCACCACACCCAGCTAATTTTTTGTACTTTTAGTAGAGACAGGGTTTCACCATGTTGGCCAGGCTGGTCTTGAACTCCTGACCTCAGGTGATCCACCCGCCTCAGCCTCCCAAAGTGCTGAGTATAGGCCTGAGCCACTGTGCCCAGCCTAGATGCCTTTTATATTGCTCTCACTCTTTAGCATACGATTGAATTCTAGGTGGTGGTGGTTGTTTTTCTTTAGTACTTGAAAACATTATATTGCCCTCTTGGCCTCTATCTTTGCACCTGAGAAGTCTGTAGTCAGTATAATTTATATTCCTTTGTAGATAATTAGCCTTTTCTCTTCAGTAACTTTAAAGTTTCACACATTATTCTTGATATTCTACAGTTTACCTTCAGTGTAGCTGGTGGCTGATGTAAGCTTTCAAATCAAGGACTATGCATCCTTTCAGCTTGGGGTAAAAACAATCATTTTATCTCACACTGCTTCTTTTCTATTCCCTTTATTCTTTGCTTCTGGAATTCCTGTTAGACACATATGCACATCTTTAATCCATCTGAAATTTGTGAATGCAAGGATGTTTTTTCCAAACAGAAAGCCATTTGTCTTACTTATTAAATATTAAAACCACATGTCAGGAAATCCATGTTAAATATACAGATTAAACAAAATCCCATGGTGATTCACCTAGTGAATCTCGCCATTTATTCAAATATTTTTTTCTGTTGTTTAGTAAAGTTGCTTAGTGTCTGTAATTAGTCCTCTAGCTAGAAAAGAAATAAAACTATGAGGAATGAAGGATTAAACCTGCATTACAATTCTTAACATCTTTTACCACGAGGCAAACCATAAGGTTATCCTTGTAAATAAGTTATAAAACAGGTGTGTTTCATAGGGAAATTATTTTTTCTGTCTCGAAAAGTTAACTTTAAAAAGTAGCAAATTGTCCATTAAATTTAATTGAGCAATCATGCATTAACTGGTTGGTTCGCTTTAGTTTTAATTTTTTAAAATAACTCACACTCCAGCCACCCAGATCTGAAAGTGGTCTGCAGGAGAAGCCAGTACAAAGAATCAGGATGGCATTTCTTAAAGTGGGTAAGGATGGTTATATTACATGTCCATACAAGTCCCAGTAAAGATTTTAAGCTGGTTAGACCTTGCTGAGAGCTGATGGGGAGGCTCTACAATTTTGTATTCACCTTTCACCAGATGGGACCCTGTTTCCAGCTCTCTTTTACCTGAACCTACTTCTTTGGCTACAGGGAGAACTCCTGGTAAAAATGCATCCCTCCTGTGACTGAACTGGAGAAACAAAAATAGAAACATACTGATCTCTCTACTCTTTTGTGTAGGCTTATGTACTTACAAAATGGCAGTTATCGACCTATCCTCCACATGGGCTTTGCCTAAACAGGACTCTGCTTATTTCCATCTGAGAAGTGCTGACGAGGAAAGGATGATTGCTGTATTTCTGACAACCTGGTTACAGGAACCAATGACCTTCAAAGATATAGCTGTAGAGTTCACTCAGGAGGAGTGGATAATGCTGGATTCTTCTCAAAGAAGTCTATACAAAGATGTGATGTTGGAAAACTATCGAAATCTCACCTCCGTGGAATATCAATTGTGCAAGCTTACCGTGATCTCCCCATTGCATCAAGAAGAGATAAGGAGTATGAACAAGATAAATCCCCAAGCCATCTGTCCAGATCAGAAGATTCAACCTAAAACCAAAGAATCAACTATGCAGAATATTTTGGGAGAGGAACCATTCAATGCAGTGAAAATAAAATTTACAATGGATAATTGGTCCTCCACATTAAGAGAAGACTGGGAGTGCCATAAGATCAGAAAACAGCATAAGATTCCTGGGGTACATTGGAGGCAAGTGACATATGCCCCAAAGGAAACAGTATCTCAGGAGCTATTCTGTGACTATCATGAATTACAGGAAAACTCTAAACATAGATCAAAACTTATTTTTTCACCAAGCATTTTCACCTGTAAACATTGTCAAAACTGTTACTCAGAGATTGGATGTTTGAAACACAATTCAATCATAAACAATTATGTGAAAAACTCTGTAAGTGAGAAGCTCTATGAAAGTCACGAATACATAGATACAAAGCTGTGGCATCTTCAGAGAAATCAAACAGTACAAAAAGAGTATATATATTCTAAACATGGAATGCACTTCAAGCATAATATGTTTACTATACCTAACAACTTGCATATGGCACCAAATTCTTGTGAATGTAATAAAAACAAAACCCTGTGTCATCAATCATCCCTTAAGAAACAAGGACAAACTCATATAGAAAAGAAACATGAATGTAATCAATGTGGAAAAGCCTTCAAAAGGATTTCTAATCTTATTTTACACAAGAAAAGTCACATGGGTGAGAAACAATATGAATGTAAAGAATGCAGTAAAGTGTTCAGTGATTCCTCAACTTTAAGGAGACATTTAAGAACTCACACTGGAGAGAAACCCTATGAATGTAATCAATGTGGAAAAGCTTTCAGTCAAAAAACATCCCTTAATGCTCATGTTAGAACTCACACTGGAGAGAAACCTTATGAATGTAATCAGTGTGGAAAGTCCTTTGGCACAAGCTCTTACCTTATAGTGCACAAGAGAATACACACTGGAGAAAAACTCTATGAATGCAGTGAGTGTGGAAAAGCCTTCAACACGAGCTCTCACCTTAAAGTTCATCAGAAAATTCACACTGGAGAGAATCTTTATGAATGCAGTGACTGTGGGAAAGTTTTCAGTGGACTCTCATCCCTTAGAATGCACGTAAGAACTCACACCGGAGAGAAACCATATGAATGTAAGGAATGCAGGAAAGCCTTCAGTGTTTCATCTTCCCTTAGGAGACATGTGAGAGTTCACACTGGAGAGAAACCCTATGAATGTATTCAGTGTGGAAAAGCATTCAGTCAGAGCTCTTCACTTATTATACACAAGAGAATTCATACTGGAAGAGAAATCCTATAAGTGTTATGAATGTGGAATTGCTATTTTCATTGTCTTAAGGTAGATTCCAATCTCCTTGTCTTAGTCTTTGTTCTCTAGAATAACCATTTGAAGTTATAAATCTTGTATAATATAATACCTTGTTCTATAAATACTGTCTAATAACTTTTTTGATCCATGGCTATCTAGAATTAGGTATTTTGAATACATGAGCTATGTATATTTTCAGTTATCTTTTTATTGTTGGTTTCTAGGTTAATTCCATCATTTCTGGAGCATCTGGACTGTATTTTACTGCTTTGTTGGTGTTTTTGTGAAAGTTGTTGTATGGCCCAATGAGGCTGCTATTGCTAGTAGCCAACCAGACACAGCTCATCTTTCCTTACTAGTGAATTCCATTTTAGTCAAGAACAACAAGATCTCTGGTTATAGAATTCTTATTTGACTTCTTGTAGCCAAGGGTAGCAATGTCATTCATTCCTGCTGATTCAAAAATAGACTGATATCACTGGGAACAGAACTGTCTATCTTGTCCTCTACTTTTTGCACTTTACCTTTTCCCCTATGAATTTTCCGTTCCTACAGCTGCTGAAAGAGCTATCTAGTGGCCATGAGAGTGACAACTGTGGCCTAAGGATGAAGTAGAAGAAAGAGAACCTTGTTCCTCAAAGAAATCTTTAAATAGCTGTACCAGCCCTGCACTGCTTGTATCAGACACAGTTCTATGGGAGAAAAATATATTAATTGATTTTTTTCTTTTTTTCAGTTTTTCAGACAGGGTCTCTGTCAGGCTGGAGTACAGTGGTGTGGTCACAGCTCATTGCAGCCTCGACCTCCCGGGCTCCAGTGATCCCCGCTCTGTGTTAGGATCACAAATGCATGCCACCATGCCTCGCTAATTTTAAAAAATATATTTTGTAGAGACATGCTCTTCCTGTCTCTACAGGCTGATCTCAAACTCCAGGCTGATCTCAAACTCCTGGGATCAAGCAGTCCTCCTGCCTTTGCCTCCCAAAGGGCATGAGTCACCATGCCTGGCCCTTAACTGATTTTTTTTTTTAAGCAGTACATAAATGTAGTCAAGGCAGTCACCATATTGTAGAAAAAAAAAACAGGTATATAGAGTTAACTGTCTTATGTTGGATGTATATATTTGAAGAGGAACATAGAAAAAAAAGAGTATGGAAAAGGAATGTTGACAGAACTTTTGTGCTTAGGTAACAGATGAAGATAGAGCCAAGATCACTGAAAGCAAGTGTTTAGGGCAGCAAAAAGATTATCCCAACATTGCAGATAGAGGGGAAGTTACCAATTTTAAATGCTGAATAAAGCATGAGATTTTGTTGGTTGGTCTTGCAGATTCTGACCAGATTAGTTCCAATTTGTTAGGAAACAACATATGGAAGGGACGGCATGTGGTGGAAGAAAGAAGGCAGTAGTTGCTGTTTTAGTTATTCGTATTAACTTCAGAGGATTGTGAGAGCCAGATGAAGAGGTTGGTATGCAATTCTAGACCTGAGGAGCTGTCTAGATAGAGATATAAATTTTAGTGACATTAGTAAATAGACTATAACATGCTTTGTGAAGGTGAATAAGAATGAAAAGAGAATGACTGACCTAGCCTGAAGACATACATTTAAAGGAACCATAGTAGAGAGATAAGAGGAAAACAAGAAGAACAGAGTTTCACTGAACCAAGACAAAGGAGTTTCAAAAAGGAAGGTGAAGTTGGCTGGGCACGGTAGTTCACGCCCGTAACCCAGCACTTTGGGAGGCCAAGGCAGGTGGATCACGAGGTCAGGAAATCAAGAACATCCTGGCCAACAAGATGAAACCCTGTCTCTACTAAAATACAAAACTTAGCCGAGCGTGGTGGTGCGTGCCTGTAGTCCCAGCTACTCAGGAGCCTGAGGGAGGGGAATCGCTTGAACAGGAGGCGGAGGTTGCAGTAAGCCGAGATCGCACCACTGCACTCCAGCCTGGTGACACAGCAAGACTCCTTCTCAAAAAAAAAAAAAAAAAAAAGGGGGCGAATTAACTATTTTCAGTGTTACTTAGGGATCAAATTAGATGAAGCCTAAGAAGGTAAACATATACAGACATGTGAAGATGGCTGTATATGTTTAGCTTTTTCGACGTCCTTCTTACTCACCTTCACAGAGCCTGTTACAGTCTATGAACATTTGTGATTGTAGTTGGAAATAACAGAGTGGTATGTTGAAGATGGGTGCTAGACTGGGAATCAATAAAGGGCAAAGAAGTAAAGACTAGATGTAGACAAGTTTGAATAATAGAAAAGGTAGTAGCTGGAGAGAAATTTGGAGTAAAGAGATAATACGTTTAAAATATTAAAAACTAGAACATGTTCACATCCTAATGTGATACATGTAGTATGGTGAGGTTGAACATGCACCTTAATAAAGTTTAATATGAGTTTCTGTGAATGTTATGGAGATGTTTAGAGCACAAACAAAAGGATTGGTGTTTGTCATCAGGAGGAGGGATACTCAGGAGTAAAGGAGAAATGGATAGGTTGGTTTAAATTACCTGTTTGTTTACATACATCTAAGTTCACTGAGCAGTGGTTAGAATTTGTGAACTATATAATGCTGTTTGTGTTTCCTAAGAGCTACTATGTGGGAGCCACTGCTAATTACTAACCAAATATTTATATTTGTATTCTTCATGAATGGGTCTTCAGTTTTGCTAACAGTAGTATCGTATCTAGCTACAAAACTACCTATCCCAGCCTCTTTGTAGCCAAGAGATGCCATTTCTACTGTTCCTGGCCAAAAAAATATACATATGGGATTACAGGTTTCATGGTAAGGATGTCTGCTAAGAGTAAGGTGGATGAAATACTCGAGGGAGGTTTTAGTGAAGAAGATCTCTATATGTTTGAAAGTCCTTCGAAGTTGTCAACAGGGCCATCAGTGGAGAAGGCACCAAAGCAACTAGCAAAGTCTAAGTGAATGAGGAGAGGCCATTTAAATAAAAGCCAGAAACAGAGGGAGAAAGTGGTATAACTAGATGTTATGAACCTCAACGGAAGGAGTGATTCTTACAAGGCTACAATGGTTAGAAGCAACGTCAGGGAGAAGGAAGATGCAATCTTACTTTCTAACCTATACATATGTGGAGAACATGGGAATAAGCCCCCCTTTCATGTGATTATTGTCAGGTAGGTGTTTTTTCCTCCCCAGGTAACAGCCAAGTTTAATGCAAGGAAATGTTCAGGGAAATAGTTGAGCATATTAAGGAAGTTTATTACTCGGGAATCTCAGAGGGCACCATGAAAGAGTCTCCAGAAGGGCCAGGGTGTAGAGTTTATGGCTTTGGCATCAGGAATACAGTATTGATAGAGGAAAAAAGATCAGATTGGGGGCCATTAGCAGTGAAAACAAAATTTAGAGGGAGTATAGATTAAACCTTAGCGGTCTATTAGATGATGGATACTTAGGTCTAAGAGGATTCCAAGTATTTTTTGGTCTCAGGTGTTAGCAGCCATGGTGGGTACAGCACTAGCAATCAGTAGTTAGAAAATGGTCCCAACTGCATGTGGTCCTTGGGTGAGGAGATCATCTTCAGGAGTACTTGGCAAGGGATTGTGCTCTGCTTGGTTGGGATTGGAATTTACACTCTGATTTTGGCCCAGTGATCTTGGAACAGTTTCAGCATCTCAAATCTGAAAATCTGAAATTCAGAACGCTCCAAAACCTGAAACTATTTATGTACCATTATGACTTTCAAAAGAAGTCCTCAGTGGAGCATTTAAAATTTTGGATTTTCAGATTTGTGATGCTCAACTGGAAGGTATAATGCAGATATTCCAAGATCCAATGCACTTCTGGCCCCAAGCATTCTGGAGAAGGGATACTCATCCTATACACTAGCAGGTAGACTGAGGCACAGTCTCACCCGGCCTCACCTGGATTTTACTGCGGTAGCCTCCTAACTGGTTTCCTTGACTTTCATCTTAACATTGTTTTATTATGTTTTCTATGCAGCTGCCATCGTATCCTATTTTTTTAATTGTGTTTTTTAATTATAAAACTAATATATGCACAAGAGAAAACAATGTAAATAACTTCTGCCCTACACAGAAGGGAAACCCCAGATTCTCCTGCCTTAAAAAATTAATATTGTAGGTGAGTGTGCATTCTGTCAGACTTTATGTACATACAAACATTTGTTTTCATTTTATAAAAACTGGGGCCAGGTGCAGTGGCTCACACCTATAATCTCAGCACTTTGGGAGGCCAAGGCAGGCAGATTATGAGGTCAGAAGATAGAGACCATCCTGGCCATGGTGAAACACCGTCTCTACTAAAATATTTTTTTAAAGAAATTAGCCGGGTGTGGTGGTGCGCACCTCGGGAGGCTGAGGCAGGGGAATCGCTTGAATCCAGGAGACAGAGGTTGCAGTGAGCTGAGATCATACCACTACACTCCAGCCTGGTGAAACAGCAAGACTCTGTCTCAAAAAAAAAAAAATTGAGTTATACCTTTTATCTCACATCTTTTTTTTAAGACATAGTTTTGTTGCCCAGGCTGGAGAATGGCACCTTCTCGCTCACTGCAGCCTCCCCCTCCTGAGTTCAAGCCATTCTCCTGCCTCAGCCTCCCGAGTAGCTAGGATTACAGGCATGTGCCACCATGCCCGGCTAATTTTGTATTTTTAGTAGAGACGGGGTTTCTCCTTGTTGGTCAGGCTGGTCTCAAACTCCCAACCTCAGGTGATCCAGCTGCCTCAGCCTCCCAATGTGCTGGGATTACAGGCATGAGCCACTGCACCTGGCCTATCCCACATCTTTTGAAACATCTTTCCATGCCAGTGCATGTAGTTCTTTTTCATTTGTAACAGCTGCTTAGTATTTCATTATGTGCTTGCACCATAATATATTTAACCCATTTGCCTCCAAAGTTTTTAAAACAAACAATACCACAATCAGTAATATTGTTCATACATTGTGCTTTCCTATCAGCTGTTCTCTACACTGCTCTCAGTGTGATCCACCCAAATTACTAACCTGATCTTATAACATTTCACTTTTAAATCTAACTCTGGCATTTTTCTCCAGTTAAGATAAAATCTTTTTACAAGACCTTACTCAAACTCTTGCTTTTTCAGACCTCATCCCCTGTTATTCCCTTTATCTTCACTGTCTCCCTAACTTAATCTGTCCTATTTATCCTTTAGGTATCGTGTCCTGTATCTGCTTTAACAATACTTATCACACTTTCACACAGTATTGCCTGTTTGTGTATTGTACCCTCTACACTGTAAGTTATGGTAAGGTGGAAACTTTGTCTAAATTTTTCATTGTTTATTACTTGGCTCAGTGTAGGTGTTCACTTAAACATTTACAGTTCTTCAATAAATTTTGTGCCTTTTAGCATTCTAGCAGAAGTTTAACTTAAAAGGTATTTAAGTGATTGTAAGGTAAAAGTTGCAAGCAGCTGGGTGCCTGTAGTCCTGTCTACTCTGGAGGCTGAGGTGGGAGGATTGCTTGGGCCCAGGAGTTTGAGACCAGCCTAGGCAACACAGCAAAACCCCATCTCTACCAAAAAAATTACCTGGGCCAGACACAGTGGCTCACACCTTTAATCCCAGCACTTCTGGAGGCCAAGGTGGGTGGATGACCTGAGGTCAGGAGTTCGTCGAGACCAGCCTGACCAGCATGGCAAAACCCCATCTATTAAAAGTACAAAAATTAGCTGGGCATGGTGGCAGGTGCCTATAATCCCAGCTACTCAGGAGGCAGAGGCAGGAGAAGGTTGAACCTGAGAAGAGTAGGTTGCAGTGAGTCAAGATTGCCCCACTGCACTGCAGCCTGGGTGACAAGAGCAAGACTCTGTCTCAAAAAAAAAAAAAAATTACCCATGGTATCATGGGTCTGTGGTCCCAGCCACTAGGGAGGCTGAGCTAGGATCACGTGAGCCGGGAGGCTGAGGCTGAAATGAGCTGTGATTGCACCACTGCACTCCAGCCTGGGGTACAGAGTGAGACTCTGTCTAAAAACAAAAACAAAGAAGCTTGGGACAGTTAAGCAGTAAGTGTCATAACCTTTAAATATTTAAAACCTAGCAATTTTAAACAGATTTTATAAAAGGACTCTTCATATAAGCATTTATAAGTAACAATATTCACTTCAATTTCATAGTGTAGTGAGAAACTGGAAAATTCCTAAATTCCCAGTAACAGCAAAATGGAATATAATGCAGGCATTAAAATGTAATTCTGTGTGGATTGACATGTAGAGATCAAATTGATACATTACAAATTTTAAAGTCACAAAATATTAGTGTATGATTGTTTTTAATGCATATTATAAATGTGTGTATGTACATTGAAAATATGGAAAGATATACAGCAAAGTGTTATCAATGGTTATGTCATGTTTTTTCCTTTGTCTTTTTTTAAGATGTCTAGTTTAGTGAACAGAGCTGTCGTCTATTTTTTAAAAATAATTCTGGCCAGGCGCAGTGGCTCACGCCTATAATCCCAGCACTTTGGGCGACTGAGGCAGGCGGATCACGAGGTCAGGAGTTCAAGACCAGACTGGCCAACATGGTGAAACCCCGTCCCTACTGAATATTACAAAAATTAGCTGGGCATGGTGGCTCGTGCCTGTAATCCCAGCTACTTGGGAGGCGGAGGCAGGAGAATGGCTTGAACTGGGACCCGCGAGGTGGAGGTTGCAGTGAACCGAGATCACGCCACTGCACTCCAGCCTGGGCTACAGAGCGAGACTCCATCTCAAAAAATAATAATTCTGTCATTAACTTCTTATTATTTATTTTTTAGAAGCCCTAGAAGCTAACTTAATACTTTCAAAAGAATGATTTTAATATCTTCAAAGTTGTAAAGAAATAAATAATTTCCTTAGGCTGTTGGACACATAGATTCTTTTCATTTTTTAAAATACCAGATAAAAAATTGAAAGTAAATTTTTTGACTTACCTTTTCTATCTCCTACCTTTTAAAGGCCAACTTTTTGAAAGTGTTAATAAAGGACATGGATACTTTTTAGACATCCTCTTGTTCTAGGCAAAATTCAATATATGAAATATACAAATAAGGTTCTATGATAAGAACAGGGAACTGTGTTAGAAAAAGCAGTCAGGGGCTGGGCATGGTTGCTCACGCCTGTAATCCTAGCACTTTGGGAGGCCAAGGCAGGCGGATCACAAGGTCAGGAGTTCAAGAACCACCTGGCCAATATGGTGAAACCCCATCTCTACTAAAAATACAAAAATTAGTAGGGCATGGTGGCGTACGCCTGTAGTCCCAGCTACTTGGGAAGCTGAGGCAGGAGAATTGCTTGAACCCAGGAGATGGAAGTTGCAGTGAGCTGAGATTGCACCACTGCCCTCCAGCCTGGTGACAGAGCAAGACTCCATCTCTAAAATAGTAAAAATTGTTAAAAAGCAGTCAAGAAAGGTCTTCATGAGAAGGTAACATTCAACTTGAAACATGAAGAAAAAGAAGGAATAGGGAGCTCTTTCTTCCGGCTCCATGGGCAGAGAGTGGAGGGACAGAGGAAGAGCTTTCTAAGTAGAACAAAAGGATTCATCAGGATTTGACATATATGTGGACAGAAAGTAAGTCCAGTAACTGGAAAACTGTTAGGCAAAGGGGTAAGGAGAGTATATGAAACCAGATTGAAAGGAGGTAGGGGTCAGATAACAAAAGACTTTGCCAGCTGTGACATGAGTTTATACTTTATTTGAAGAGTTATGGGAGCTATTTAAGGATTTTTCAGAGATTGAAACTTTGTTTTTAAAAGGTCACACTGCTTTTGTATAAAAAATCTTGAGAGACTAGGAAGCTATTGCAATAGTTCACGTATGAAATCTGAATGCCAGAAAACTAAGCATTCACTTTTTTATTTTCTTTACTTCTTAATTTTTCCGTAAGTTATTGGGATTCTTTTCTTAATTTTTCTGTAAGTTCTATTCACTTTTCAAAAGACATTGAGATTTGTTTTAGCATAAACAGGAAATTCATAGCTCATAGGTGTCACGATATAAATTTATCTCTAACTTAAGAAATGCATGTCAGACACATAAAATTATATTTTCCACCTATGAGCACAGTTTCATGTGAGTTCTGATTTTTCTAAAATATTTTGTTGTAATAATCCATTTTTTTCTACATGATTTTGTCCTTTGTGATATTGAGGGTATACAAGATGCAGAATTTATTTTTTAAAATTACTTCTGTAATATTCACTTCTCTCTTTTTTTGAGACAGTGTCTCAGTCTTGCCCAGGCTGGAGTGTAGTGGCACAATCTCAGCTCTCTGGAGCCTCAATCTTCTGGCCTCATGTGATCCTTCTACCTCAGCCTCCTCAGATACTGGGAACACAGGCATGTGCTACCACACCTGGATGATTTTTTTATTTGTATTTTTTGTAGAGATGGGGTCTGACTACATTGCCCAGGCTGGTATCAAACTCCAGGGCTCAAGCAATCTTTCTGCCTTGGCTTCCCAAAGTGCTGGGGTTACAGGCACAGGTCACTGCATCTTTCCTGTAAAAGAATTGTTCAAATATAATTTTTTTATACTTTCTGTCACTTTTTCTATGTCCTTTTTTTTTTTTTTTTGAGACAGAGTCTTGCTCTGTCGTTCAGGCTGGAGTGCAATGGCACTCTCAGCTCACCGCAACCTCCGCCTCCCAGGTTCAAGTGATTCTCCTGCCTCAGCCTCCCAAATAGCTGAGATTACAGGTGTGTGCCACCACGCCTGGCTAATTTTTGTATTTTTAAGTAGAGATGGGTCTTCACCACATTAGTCAGGCTGCTCTCAAACCCCTGACCTCATGATCTGCTCCCCTCAGCCTCCAAAGTGCTGGGATTGCAGGTGTGAGTCACTGTGCCCGGCTTATGTCCTACCTTTTAAAGGCAGACTTTTTGAAAGTGTTGCTAAGGATTTGGACTCTTTCTTCCAAATCACTCATACCCAATATGCAACTTTTGCTACCTCTTTTTGCTCTGAAATTTCTTGGATCTCTTCAGAGGGATTTAACAAATTTCCTGTCCTTTTTCTCTTTTCTTTGTTTTGTTTTGTTTGAGATGGAACTTGCTGTGTTGCCCAGGCTGGAGTGCAGTGGCATGATCTCGGCTCACTGCAAGATCTGTCTCCTGGGCTCAAGCAATTCTCATGCCTCCCGAGCAGCTTGGATTACAGGCATGCACTGCCACACCCAGCTAATTTTTTGTATTTTTAGTAGAGATGGGGTTCACCATGTTGGCCAGGCTGGTGTCAAACTCCTGACCTCAAGTGATCTGCCTACCTCTGCCTCCCAAAGTTCTGGGATTACAGGCACGAGCCACCTAGCCCCCCCGTCATTAGATACATTGAGGTATGATCGAAAATTCTTTTGGGCGCATCACAGCAACAAAAGTTATCTATTTGTGAGTATCTTCTTTTTTTTGAGACAGAGTTTCGCTCTTGTTACCCAGGCTAGAGTGCAATGGCACGATCTCGGCTCACGGCAACCTCCGCCTCCTGGATTCAAGCGATTTTCCTGCCTCAGCTTCCCAATTATGGCCAGCTAATTTTTTTGTATTTTTAATAGAGACAGAGTTTCACCATGTTGACCAGGATGGTCTCGATCTCTTGACCTTGTGATCCACCTGCCTCGGCCTCCCAAAGTGCTGGGATTATAGGCATGAGCCACCGCGCCCGGCCTTATTTGTGAGTATCTTAAGTCTCCCAAAGCATTTGATTGTTGCTTTCCAAGAAAAGACAGAATTATGGTCATTCTCCCATGACTATTCTTTACTATTATTGATTGCATCTGTTGCTGTATCCCCTTGCTGCATTCCTAGCAACTTCTTTTATTAATGCTGAAGATTAGTTTTAATAATCTTCTGGGAGACTTAAAAACCCTTTTTTTCTGAAGCATAATAATACAGAGAAAAGTGTGCATCTTTATGAATTTCCCCAAATAGAACACACTTAGCCAGCCCCCAAATCATGAAAGACCCAAATTAATAATTTTGCTACCTTCCCAATGTTCCTAGACTCACCTTTTAACTGTCTCCCTCCTTTCTTGTGCTATTTAGTTTGATGTATATTTTCTACTCCACCAGATACTGTTATGTAAAGTCAGTATTTATATCAGAGTAGACAGACTTTTTCTGAAGAGGTCCTGTGAGTAAATATTCTAGGTTTTGCAGGCCATATGTGGTGGTTGTTGCATATTCTTCTTCATTTTTCTAAGCAGCTTTTTAGAGATGTTAAAATTATTCTTAGCTCAAAGGCCTTGATTTGGTCCATGGACCATAATTTCCCAAAACCTGACTTGTATTTATCAACATATTTACCCCTCCAGTGTTACTTCTTTCTTTCTGCATTTCGAAGTTTAAGATTATTTCATACTGCCTGAAAAACTAGTGTTTCTTTTAGGATAAGCATGCTACCATAACTTTCCTCCATTTTTATTATTCTGAAACATTTTTATTTCTGAAGGATATTTTAGCTCAGAATGAAAATATAGGTTACCAGTTTTTTCACAGTGTACATATGAGCCCCACTCCCAGTTGCAACATTCTTAAAGGGACCTGCCTCCCCATCAGTTGAGAAGATTTAGGACTGTGAACTGGCTTCAACCATATGTCAAATAGTACCTTTGTGGGCTATCCACTTATTTCTAGGAACCCCATGATCATTTAGCCATTGCCACGTATATAGCTAAAATTCTCATTACCAATGCATTCCTTGGACTCCTGTGCAAATTTTATCCAACCCCTCCCAGGCCAAGATCCCATGATTTACTGAAAGTGGGATCTTACTTTCATTATGAAAATTCCACAGTTGTATATGTGGTACCTACCCTCATCTACAGTCTAAGGAGGGTAGGTTGTCCAAGGAGGGTGGTACATTCCTCTCCAATGTATTTCTTAATATCCTGAAGGGAGTGTCTTTTGGCCTCTCTGGTTAAGGGAACAAAATGAACATAATTCATTCTGATGCTTACATCTCCCTCTAAAGCAGGGGTGTCCAGTCTTTTTCTGTATTTTGTATGTGACCCAAGAAAATTCTTCCAGTGTGGGCCAGGGATGCCAAAAGATTGGACACCCCTGCTCCAGAGTAAACATTCTCAGTGTTGGCTGCACGCAGCAAAAACTAGAGGGCAAAGATCTGATGCAGTCAGGGGCTGACCAAGTTTCTTTCTGTAAAGAGCTAGATAGTAAATGTTTAGCCTTTCTGGCAATATATTCAACTCTTCTGTTGTAGAGGTAAGGAGCCATAGACTATGTAAATGAATACCTGGCCCATGGGCTGTAGCTTGATGACCTCCGACATAGTTCATGAGGCATCTCCACAGAGTAGACAACAGGAAGGAGAGTGGGTATGGAGCAGATAATGGGAGAAATCCAGGATACCCTTAAATAAATAAAATAAATATTGGATTTTTCATATTCTAATACTGCTGACAGGGTAACTTGATTTTTATCCTGATACAAACCACTGCTGCCTGAGAAAACCAAATCAGGTATTAGGCACCCATATGTCACAAGGCATGCTATCTGTATTTGAGTCAGCCTCTCCTAAACAACTCTTACGGAAACTTGGAAAGCTGAATGTATGTACGTGGCATGCCAATGCAGGTTTAAGGAAATACACTTCTAATAATGTATTTAGAACTCTATACATGTAAATAAGGCATTTTTTGACTAAAATTCTTATAAAGTCCACCTCTTACAAAATTACTTATATTTATCTAGTAACACCTTCTACAAATGTGTCCTCAATGTAGCCATTACATTAATGCTCACTAAATTCATTCCTATTCATATTCTCTACTTCTCTTTTTTTTTTTTTTTTTTTTTTTTGGAGACAGTCTCATTCAGGCACAAGGCTGGACTGCAGTGGCACAATCTTGGCTCACTGCAACCTCCACCTCCTGGGTTCCAGCAATTCTCCTGCCTTAGCCTCCCAAGTAGCTTGGACTACAAGTGTACACCACCACACTCAGCTAATTTTTGAATTTTAGTAGAAATGTGGTTTCACCATGTTGGCCAGGATGGTCTTGATCTGACCTCGTGATCCAACCGCCTCGGCCTCCCAAAGTGCTGGGATTACAGGCATGAGCCACCATGCCTGGCCGCTCTACTTCTCTTTCTACAAAATAAAATTGCTTGCTTACCTTCCTGATCAAAGCAAACTCACCCTGATGATGTGAGCTTCACCAGCTGGGCAGCAGATAATGCCAGAACAGTTTTAAATACATGCTTACAAAAGAATGGTTTTCAGTGTACATGGAACAAAACAGGAAGAGTACCTTGGTAATTTTCTGTCATGTATCTTATTTACCCTTATTTCACACTGAGTTACAGATGTCTATAGTTAGATTCAAGGAAAAGTGTCAGTTAGCATTACCTTAAATCCAAATTGTCTGAAAGTTAAAACCATAAAACGCCTAAAACACTTCTATAGCTATGTTGGTGTGTTTCAACAAAAGCACACTACTCTTTTTTATGTCAATATTGTTACATTTTAAGAATCACACATGCTGTGGGAAAAAATCAGGAAGTACAAGATTTATAAACCAGATTTATTTATAACTTTTTTGAATTCACTTAAAAAACAAAAATCCCCCTCCCTTCAAAATAAAACCATTCTAACAGATTCCATCCAGTATGACTTTTCAGATATCTAAGATTTTGCTACACATTACAATGGTAATTTTCCCACAGTGTAATTCTGATATAGGTTTGAAATATTGCAGAAAGTCACTCTACATTCATTTATATAGTTGCTTTTTCTCCTACAAGAGTAAAAACATTTAAGTATTGCATTATAATTGAAGGCATTCCCAAATCATTGCTCATTATCACTTTGCTTAAACATCGATTTTCTCATCTCCAAAGTACATCTTTGTAAAGCTCATACCTTACCCATGCAGTCTGTCCTGGCTGACAGATGCAGAATGAGGGCTGACCTCTAGCTTTCTCAAATTTACTTTATATGTACTCTTTACTGGTAGACATTTACACATGCAAAGTAAGGGAATCCTACCAAATGAAGTCTTCTCAATATTACCAGATGGAAGAATCTTCTTCACAATATTGATTTCACTATGTCATTGCAAAAAAAAAAGTGTTTACTAATGGCTTTTCCACTTATTCCTAGGTTTTTTGCTCAGGATATTAAATAAGTGTGGGCCTTCACATTCATCACTTTCACATAAGGCTTCTTTCCAAGAGTTCTCTGAAGTAAAAGTAAGGCATTATCTTCTTTAAAAAAATTCCATACATTCATAGTTTTTCTTTGCACTGTAAATTCACGGGTGTTGAGTAAGGAATGAGTGGTAATTAAATGAATTTTCATATTCATAGGGGTTGTCAAGAGTGTGTGTTCTCTGGTGTTTAGCAAGATTTGAGCTCCAGCTGAAGGATTTGTTGCATACCTTACATACATAGGGTTTTTCCCCAGTATGAGTTCTCTGATGTAGAATGAGGGAAAAGCTTCGACTGAAGGCTTTATCACATTCAGCACATGCATAGGGTTTCTCTCCAGTATGAATTTTCATATGTTGAATAAGGGATGCATGCCAAGTGAAAACTTTACCACATTCATCACATTCATAGAGCTTTTCTCCAGCATGAATTCTCTGATGTTTAACAAGGAATGAGTGACAACGGAAAGCTTTCCTACATTCATTACATTCATATGGGGTTTTGGTTGTATGGATGCTTTGATGCCGTGTAAGGTGTGAGAAACGGCGAAATGCCTTCCCACATTCAATGCATTCATAAGGTTTCTCTCCAGTGTGTGTAATCTGATGGCGAATGAGTTCTGAGCCACTGCTGAATGCTTTCCCACATTTCCTACATATATATTGTTTCTTACCTATGTGAATTCTCTGATGTCGAGTGAGGTTGGAGGCACGGCTAAAGGCCTTTCCACACTCAGTACATTCATAAGGTTTCTCCCCAGTGTGTGTTCTCTGGTGTTCAATAAGAAATGAAAGGTAACTGAATGTTTTATTACAGTCCTTACATTCATGGGGTTTCTTTCCAGTATGTATCATTTGATGTTTCACAAGGTTTGAAATCTGGCTAAAGGTTTTGCCACATTCATTACACGCATATGGTTTCTCTCCAGTATGAGTCCTCTGATGTAACACCAGGGAAAAGCGTCGACTGAAAGTTTTTCCACATTCAAGGCATCCATAGGGCCTCTCCACAGTACTGATATTCATATGTTGGGCCAGGGCTTCTTGATGGGAGACTGTTACTTTCCTTACACATCCTTGATTTTCTTGCAGCATCTCAATATGATCCTTGCATTTCCAGCCTCCTTTAAAACTGGAATACACAGGGCCTTGGCTTAGAATTCCTTCCATGATCAAATACTGGGATGAGTCATCATAAATGACATTTTTTGATGAAAAGTCTTTGATCTCACCATTTGACTCTGAAACTGAAAGATACCCAAAAAAAGTGAATGTTTCTTTTTCCTGTACTGAATAAAATAAGGCCATTCTCCCTTCTTTAGCAACAGAATTAATTTTTTAAAATCTTATCAATAGTATGCATGGCTTTCACAGCTATCTGGGACTATGAAGTCTGTATGCCCAGAACTTCAGAAAAGGTCAAATAGACACAGAGATATAGGTAAATAAGGAGAAAGATTAAATACAAGTAATTGAAAAGTGGGGAAAACAGAGCTATCAGGAAGAAAGTATTTGTGAAGGATAACTTGCTAGACTTCCTCACCACCATTTAAACAGTACTTACTGCCAGAATTCTCTAAAAATGGTAATTTCATAATGCCGCTAATAAACACACTGCAAGTGTTTGTCAAGTTGCACAAAGACATTAGATTCTCTTCACTTAGTGCCTCTGGAACATCTTACAGTAACTTACTCTAAGTGAAAAAAGTAAGCAGTTTCTTAGAAACCTATCTCTTATCCTCACTCCAACTCTACCTTCTGAACTATTATGAAGCTCATATTTGGTACAATTATGTCTTTTCTGGGACCTATTTGAGGGTGGAGGGTGGGAGGAGGTTGAGGATTAAAAACCTGACCATTGGGCATGAGGCTGATTACTGGGTGACAAAATTATCTGTACATCAAACCCCCATGACACACAATTTAATCATATAACATGAGTAACCTCTGACCTAAAATGAAAATTGGAAAAAGTGTCTTAATATCAAATGTGTTTGACAAATATAAGCCCTAATTTTCTCCATGCTGAATTTTAAGATGGACTTAATGATTTTTAAATTGGAACCAAATTTCAAAATAATATGAAGTGTTTCCTTAAAAATACATTCATATTCTTAGGAAATTCTTATTCTTAGGTAATCTATAATTACATGTATAGAGGTAAAAGACTATAATATATATATCTTATTCTTAACGTTTCAGAAGAAAAATCATATACCAAATGATAAGACACATGGGTGTAAGCAAAGGTGAATGTGGGCATTCTCTGTACTATTCTTACAACTTTTATGTAAGTTTAAAATTACTTCCCTGTAACATCTAAAAATGCATTTCATTTGAGTCAAACATACTCTGACACTTTAGGAAAAATGCTGTCTGTTATCACTCTCACTATAAGCTTTTAGGGAAAAGTAAATAGACTATATTTCTTTAATGAAATATTTATTTCATATCTCAATAATGGATCAAGATCTGTACCTATATCCTGGGTACACAAAATACATGAAAGATTAAGATGGGAAGACAGTGAAACAGCTATTAAAATAATTATGTCAATACTGATAATCCTTAAATTCCTTTCTTGCCTTTTTATATCAATTGCATATCTACTGAGTACCTTAACAAGAGCCCTGTAGATGTAAATTAATAATTATTTTCAGGAACTCAGAATATATTAGGGAAAGGAACACAGAAGAAAATATTGATAAAAGACATAAGAGAAGTTCATTATACTTAGGGTAAAAACTGTATAAAAGACCAGAGATAAAATATGAAAATCCACTCCAACAGATAAAGGTTTCATCTAGAAATGCTTCAAGGAAACTAGTTGGGAACTGAAATATACCAAGTGAACATGGATATGAAAAAATATTAGAAAAAGCTGTTGGGGCTAGGTGTTGTGGTTCATGCATATAATCCCAACATTTTGAGAGGCTGAGGCTGGAGGATCACTTGAGTCCTGGAATTTGAGACCAGCCTGACCAACATGACATAGTGCAACCCGTTTTCACACACACACATATATATGTGTGTGTGTATATGTATATATGTATGTATATGTATATATGTATTTATGTATATATATGCATGGTGGTATGCACCTGTAGTTCTAGCTACTTGGCAGAGTGACATGGAAGGACTGTTTGAACCCAGGAATTCAAGGCTGCAGTGAGCTATGATTGCACCACTTCCCACCACTCTAGGCAACAGAATGTGACCTTGTCTTAAGAAGGATGTTAGAAAAGTACTATGTTATTGTTAGCAGAATAAGCTGTATTGTTCTCCTGCATGGTAGTGGGATTATAGTTAATAATAATGTATCTTTAAAAATAGAAGACAGAAGTGTTTAATGCTCTTGTCACATAAAAATGATACATGTTTGAGATCATGGATTTGCTAATTAACTTTATATGATCATTATACAATGTATATATGTATTGAAACATCACATTGTACTTTATGTACAATGATTGTGTCAATTAAAAAGAAAAAGTTGGGGTTAATTGCACAGATTTAGTGTATTATTTGCCATATGATTTCTCACAATGAGAGTAAAAAAACACAATCAAGAAAATCATGTTGAAGATGTAAACGAATGCTAATTATAGCTCTTCACCCACTTCCCTTCCTCAGTTACCTCACCTCTTCCCATCACCTACTGTACCTCCATACTCTTTAAAACTTAGTAGATGCCAATGGAGGCAACTCAGTACTTCCTAAAAGCCTATAAAGATGCAAGGTTTCATTCTTGATATAATAAAGGTTGTCTTTCATAAACCAGCAACTAATATACTCAAAGAAAATTGTTTAGATGTATTCACTCTTTTCTTGGGAAAACAGCCCAATATCTTCTATCACCAGTGTTAATTAAGATCAATACAGGAAGAAGGAAATTGGAAAATTATAACAGGGAGACTTCCAGTTTCCAGTCTGACTTACAGGGATCTTAGAAGTCACTACTCTGCCCTAACAAGTGAAAAGCTGAACAAACTAAACTCTTCTAAGATCTCTCAGAGAAGTGCAGTATAGACAGGAAGCTATGGAGAGTGACGATTCACCAGAAGAGAACTCTCTGCAGGAACCAGTGCTGGGCTAGGAAAACTTGCACTGTAATTGATGAATAGCTGGAAGCCCAGTGTGGACAAGTCTGTGGTTCAAAACTCTCATCATGGGTGTCCCGAGGGTTTTAGGAGTTTTACCTCCAGGAACTCTTATCAGGTTTTCAGAGTGAACACGGGAGAAAAATTCCCTTGTGTTTTGGAAGGTCTAAGATAAAAACATTTTAAAAAATAGACCAGAGTATTCCTTTTTTTTTTTTTTTTCTGAGACAGAATCTTGCACTGTCGCCCGGTCTGGAGTGCAGTGGTGAGATCTCGGCTACTGCAGCCTCTGCCTCCTGGGTTCACATGATTCTCCTGCCTCAGCCTCCCGAGTAGCTGGGATTACAGGCATGCACCATCATACCCAGATAGTGTTTTGTATTTTTAGTAGAGGGGGGGTTTCACCATGTTGGTCACACTGATCTCAAACTCTTGACCTCATGATCCACCCACCTTGGCTTCCCAGGCATGAGCCACTGCTCCCAGCCCGAGTATTCCAATCTTAACAAGGCCTGCCCTCAGGAGAGACTATTTTACCAGAGCCTAACCTGCTGGAGTTTTAGCAGAGCCTAACCTACTCTGGGCAAAGAAATACCCGGATCTAGCCTTCCACCAAAAGAAAGAGAAATAACCTCTGGCCCCCTCCAGCCATCCCATCCCACATAAGGTGGAAAAAAAAAATTAAGAACTAATGAAGTTCTTAGTCCAGAAGCACAGGTTTATCATAAAGTTAAGATTATGAAATGCTTCTCTTCCCCCAGCACCTTACCACTACATTATGAAAGGCAGTTCCTTTTACCCAGTACATCATGTCCGCCCTTCAACATAAAAGTATGAGGTATACTAAACAGTGAAAACAAAAACAACAAAAAAAGTCTGAACAGACTGAATAAGCATCAGAATCTGAGATACGTTAGGAATGTTGGAATTATCCGTCCAAGAATTTAAGAGACTATGACTAATATGCTGAAAGTTTTATTGGGAAAAAGTGCAACATGCAAGAAGAGATGGATAATGTAAGCAGAGAAATGAAAGTTTTATGAAAGAATCAAAAAGAGGTTGGGCAAGGTGGCTCACACCTGCAATCCCAGTACTTAGAGACGCTGAGGCGGGCAGATCACGCAGTCAGGAGTTTGAAACCAGCCTGACCAACATGGTGAAACCCCATCTCTACTAAAAATACAAAAACTAGCCGGACATGGTGGTGTGGGCCTATAATCCCAGCTACTCAGGAGGCTGAGGCAGGAGAATCGCTTGAACCCAGGAGACGGAAGTTGCAGTGAGCCGAGATCACACACTGCACTCCAGGCTGGGCGACAGAGCAAGACTCGATCTCAAAAAAAAAAAAAAATAGTAGAAATAAAATTCCTGTAATGGAAATAAAGAAATGCCTTCAATGGGCTCATGAGTAGTCTATGTGGATATCTCAAACAAAAAGTCCGAAACTGAAAAACAGAGAGATAAAATATTGAGGGGAAAAAAAAGAAACAGATGATCCAAGAACTGTGGGACAACTACAAATGGTGTAATATACGCATAACAGTAATACTAGAAAAAAAAGGAGGAACAGAAGCAGTATTTGAGGAAATTATGACAGACAATTTTCCCAAATTGGTGTCATGAACCAAACCACAGGTCCAGGAAATACAGAGAACACCAAGCAAAATAAGTTCCCCTCCATCCCCTGCCCAAAACCACTACAATTAGGTACATCATATTCCAGTTTCAGAAAATCAAATATAAAGAAGTCAAAGGGGAAAAAAAAAACCTTACCTATAAAGGAACAAGGCTGGGAATTACGGTAGTCCTCTCATCGCCATTTCAGTTACCTTTGTTCAATTTCAACCTCTGCTCAATATTTAAAAGTATTAAATAGAAGATTCCAGAAATAACTCATGTTTAAGTTGTACACCGTTCTGAGGAGTGTGATGTCTCATACCATCCTGCTCCATCCCACCTGGGATGTGAATCATCCCTTTGCCTAGTATCTATGCTTCATATTCTACCCACCTGTTAGTGGCTGTCAGAACACCTGGTGCAGTATTGTAGTGCTCATGTTCAACTGACCCTTATTTTACTTAATTATGGCCCCAAGGCACAAGGGTAGTGATGCTGGCAAGTCAGATATGCCAAAGAGAAACTATAAA